ATCGGTAAAATGTAAGGTATATTTTACGGAGTGAGGAGGTGAGGAACAGTGTGTAGGGTTTGGCGTCATTTTATAGGGATTAGAATTTCAAGGGGTAAAAGAGTCGGTGGAAGAGTGTGGAAGGTTAATTGAATAGTGTAGGTGTCGATTGATGAAGGATAGAGAAAGAAATTACTTTTAACTTGGTCAGATTAAAATTTAATGTGATTTGACATGAAGGGTCTAGGTTAAGTGAAGATAATCTTTGATCAGAAACTTTGAATTGAATTCGAAGAGCCTTGGGTATTTAAATAAAAAATTGATTTGAATTTTAAAGATAAATACTTGAAAATAATTCAAAATCAGAATATAAAGATATGATTTTCAAAAGGATAAAATTAATTAACTGACTAGCTAATTAATTCACAAAAGGATAAAACAAAATCTGATAGAATATTTCGGAGGAACTTGGAACAAAGCAACATAGTTTGTTATAACATAAACATGCCTAAAGCAATTTGATTTCTTCACATACAGCCACAATCCCATATGCAATGCCATACATTCTAATGCTCAGGACTATGTTTTCACATATTTAGATTGTGTAAGACATATATTGTATACATGATTGACTTATACCTTTAAGGGAGAAATTGAGGTCTTCTTAACTCAATTGTATCATACCAAGTTCCATGCACATCTTTTCAAATTTATCCCTGTTCAAAGGCTTAGTAAGAATGTCAGTGTAGACACCCATTTGTGTCTCCCCAAAACCAAACCCAGTGATGAGTACCTTTCACGTCGAATCATATCGAATGAAGTGAAAGTGTGGAAAGTCTAGTATTGCTGATAGTTTTAATTTCTCTTCTTTTCTCTCTATTTTTGGAAACCTATTTTAAAAAAACAGCCAATCCAGTTTGGTTGGTCCATAAAATGGGTCCAATAGTAGTGTAGTTGGATAGGAATTGAAATGAGCTTTCCAGCGATATATTATAAGCCCAATTCCGATGAATATTGTGGAAGTTATGGCCAAATTACTAAACTGGGCCTGGTTTGAGCCTTATATGCGGCCCAATGATCTAGGGGAGGGCCTAATATGGATTTATCATTCCTAATGCAATTAGGAATGATTTTACTCTTCTAGATTCTTCTTGAAGGTTCTTTTCATTCCTAATTCAATTAACATTGATAAATTGACTTTTGTTGACTTTTTTAGAGTTTTAATCAGAATAAAAGAATGTTTTTGAGGAAAATACAATTTTATCCTCCTGTACGGTCAATTTCTATCTGATTTTAAGAAAACGCGTCAATAATTAAGTTAGCGCCAAACGCCAGGCGCCAATGTCAGCGTCTGGCGCTAGCCTTGTTTTTGCGTGTCAGAATTCTGTTTTGATTTTCTATCTTTTTGGTTGATTTTCTCTATAAACAGCCTTCTAAAAAATCCGTTTTCATTCACCAATTCTCTCTATTCATTTCATCAACTCTCATCAAGAATTTCTTGATTCTCTCCCTCTTTCTAGCCTAGCCTTTTACAAACAAAATTTCTCATACATTAGCACTAGACAAACCTAGTATTGTTCGAATTTTCCTTCGCCCTAAACGTGAAAGGTTTTAATTTCTGAGGGTTTGGTCCCTAATCTCTATTTCAGTTATTACTTAATTTAATTGTTGTTTATTATTTTCCTTGAAGTTACTAATGTGTGTATTTTGTTATTAGAAAGAGGTACGAGGCATCCAAGTAAGTACTTTAATTGGTTTCATTGTTATTATGATATAGAAATCATGCTTAGGTTGTTATTATGATTCCTAGCGTCATGTTAGGGTGTTTTGATCTTCCTAGTATCATGTTTAGGGTAACAACTAAAAAAATGCTAATATCAAGTATGATTAAAAGTATGATGCCTTTTATCTTCTTCCTAATATTTATGATTGTTAGTATCATGTTAAGGCTAAATATTTGATTTTTATTGTTTAGTGACATGCTAGGGTTTGTTATTAATCTTGTTAGTATCATGCCTAGGATCTTGCTATTATTATGATTTATTTTTAACATGAACATGATTATGAATATTATTATTTTGATGATGATTAATTGTTATGATTATTATGTTTCTTGATTATATTTATTGTTATTGCTTGATCACACCTTTTATGCATGTTTAAAGGGAATTGATACTTCTAATCACGCTTAATGAGATAATTAATAATCTTGTTTAGGGTTAATATGATTATAATTCAAGTGATCGCCAATAATAGTTTATTTGTGCATTAATATTCAACCAACATAGTTAAACAGGTTTAAGGTTAAACCTATTGATTGCATGTTAGTCAGAAAGCGCACATGAATACGATCAGAATAAAGTAGAGGCCTATTATTAGGGCAGGTTCAATCTCTTTTAGGTTGGATTTGTACCTTCATCCCCGAACTACCAGTCATGGTTCCAGACCTATTGGAGTTGACGATCTCCTAGATCGTTAAGGGGTGTAACCTTCACCTCGTGAACGGTTTACAAGTTCCTAAAACCTGTTGGCGACTCTTTTGCTCTATCTTCTTTCCCTTTGGACGCCACCTACTTTAGTGTATGATCACAGTGGGGTTCAAGCTTAGGGATAACGCTTGAAATATTCCCTACAGTCAGCAATTTGATTTTCAGTATCACAAAAATCCAATTTGATTAAGCCTTTTTCAACATTATCCTGAAGAAAGTGATGCCTTATGTGAATATGCTTCACACGAGAATGATGAACTGGATCTTTTGAAATGAATATGGCACTTGTATTGTCACAATAAATAGGAATGCAATTATACTTCATACCATAATCTCTTAATTGTTGTTTTATCCAAAGAACTTGGGAACAACAAGCTGCAGCAGCCACATACTCAACTTCAATAGTTGATAATACCACTGTATTTTGTTTCTTGGAGCCCCAAGAAACTAGACATGGTCAGAGGAACTGGACCATTCCGGAAGTACTTTTCCTGTTCACCAAATCTTTTGCATAATCAGCATCTGCAAAACCTTTTAAATCAAAAGTATCGCTTATAGGATAGAAGAGACAAAGATTGTCAGTTTCTTTGAGGTATTTTTAGAATCCTTTTAACTGCTGTAAGTAGGGGTGTACAAAAATTGGCCCGGACCTGAAACCGGACCTGAACCGACCTGAACCGGACCGGACCTGACCCGGACCTGTTGATTCAGGTCCGGTCCCGGTTCTTAAAAATCCAGGTTCCCGGTCCCGGTCCGGACCCGGTCCAAACCCGGGGTTTTCAGGTCCGGACCTGAAACCCGGGAAAATCGTAATTAAAAAAAAAAAAAAAAAACAAGAAAATATCTGATTCTCTCAGCCTCCCTCAATCTCTTTCATATTTTTAAGTTCTAACCCTAACTCCCTAAGCCCAAACTGATTCTCTCAGCCTCCCTCAATCTCAACTTCTCAACGCGGCTGTCCCAACTCGCTCCGGCCACCGCCCACTGCCGACACCTCCCTCATTCTCTCAGGCGATGCACACCGTTTTGCTTATAATTTTGGTATTTTTAATTCGAAATAATAAATTTAAGTGTGAGAATTTATATGTTTATTCTTGTTTCAAATTTTCAATTGCTTTTAATGATTGTTTGATGTTTGCATGTTGAATTTCTTATTTTTAGTTCATCTCTTTCGAATTTCTGTTTTTTTTTTTGGTTTTTTTGAGTTTAGGGTTCATAAGAATTAAGAAGTTTAGGGTTTAGGGTTCAAGTGCGAAATTTAGTTCGAAATTTTGTGTTTATTATGATTATTAAGATTAATTTAGTGCGAAAATTTGTGTTTATTCCTAAAGTATAAGTTATTCAAGGTAATATATGTCTCCACTTGAATTATGGGTTGGGGTGGTAGGGTGGGTTGGGGTGGGGTTATGGTGGGGTTACGGTGGTACGGTTCTGGTGTGTGGGGGTTAAGGGTTAAGGGGTGGCAGTGGGGTGGGGTGGGGTGGGTTGGGGTGGTGAGCAGGGGTGTGGGCAGTGGTGGATCTGGGTAGGGTAAGGGTTAGGGATGGGGCTGTTTTTTATTTATTTATTTATTTTTAACCAACCTGCAAATTGATCCAACATAATGCGGCACAACTTAGTAACTTACTACTTCGTAATAAATTTTGATCGTTGAGAAATTTTTTGGATGAGTAGTGAACTAGTGATTCATTATATTAATCATTGTTTGGTTTTCTAATGAATAATGAATGGACTTGCACTTATTAAACTAACTCATACTCCGTATCATATACGCTATTTACCTGGTATTGATATTTCTAATGTGTATATATGGACACTTTTTAAGCTAACTTATACTTTAAAATTTGTGTTTATTCCTGCTAGGCTGCTAAAAGTATGGACTCAGATTATTAAGATTAAATAAGTTGGCTAACATGTGTGTAGTTCAGGGGTTCTTATTTTTGTTTTTATTCTTGCAGGGAGTGAAGGAAGTCAAGGAGCCACGGATTCTTATTCTTGCAATGTAAGTTGCTCTTAAATTTTTTTATAAAATGGTATGTGTATATAATTGTTACTTTAAAATTACTTATATTGTATATAATTATATTGTAGATGGAGAGCTCTCAATCCAAACGGTCTGCTTCTTTTTCTGAACAAACGTCACAGCCACTTTCTGAAAAGGATATGGAAGAATTGTAATCTACTTTGCCTCCTGATAAGAAGCTAAAAGCGGGGCGGGAATATATATGGAACAGAAAAAGTAAGAGGAAAGCTGAGTATTGGAAATATTACTTAGAGTACGTCGAGAATGGAAAACTACGAGCTGAATGTAAGTTCTGTCCTAAAACTTTTGCTGCTGATGGTAATCTTAATGGTTCAAAAAATGTTAAAAACCATGCAGAATCATGTCTCGGTAATCCTATTAATATAGAAAAAGAAAAGGGCAAATAAAAGCAAACTAAATTGTATTTTGATCAAGAACATGAGAGTAGTGAATTAAAGTGTGGGAGTAGGATTATTAACTTGAATGATGTTAGAGAGGCATTGATTCACATGATTATTGTTGATGAGTTACCATTTAAGCATGTGGAAAAACCCGGTTTTAGGCACTTTGTGCAAGTTGCATGTCCACAATTTCACATTCCATCTCGTGTTACCATTGCTCGTGATTGTTTAAAGTTGTATTATAGTGAAAAAGAGAAATTGAGAGAAATGTTTAAGACATGTCAAAGAATTTCTGTGACCACTGATACTTGGACTTCAATACAAAGAATTAATTATATGTGTCTTACAGCTCATTTCATTGATAATGACTGGAAATTGAATAAAAAGATCATAAATTTTTGTCCAATTTCTAGTCATAAAGGAGAGGCTATTGGAAAAGCAGTTGAGGCATGTTTAGAGTATTGGGGTATTGATGATAAACTTTTTACTGTCACTGTTGATAATGCTTCTTCAAATGATGTTGCTTGTGCACACTTGAGTAGAATGGTTAGAAGCATGATGTATAAATTATGGAAAAAATCTTCATGTTAGATGCATTGCTCATATCATTAATTTAATTGTGTGGGATGGTATTAGAGAACATGGTGTGTGCATTGATAGAGTTAGAAATGCTGTGAAATATGTTAAGAATTCCCCTGTAAGAATACTTAGATTCAAAGATCTTGTGCAAAAAGCAAACATAGATTCAAAATCTTCTTTATCCTTTGATGTCCCCACTCGTTGGAACTCCACATACATAATGTTGGAAACGGCTTTGAAGTTTCGACGTGTTTTTAGTGGGTTATCTCTTCCTGATGGAGAGGATTTGAATGACAATGAAAGGCCTCCCGAACCCAAAGATTGGGAAAAAGTGGAGAGGTTGGTTTTGTTTCTAGAGGGGTTTTATTTGTTAACTAAACGAATTTCTGGTTCCCATTATGTGATAGCTAATAAAGGTTTAGGAGAAATTGCTTCTATGTATGATATGTTGAATAATTGGGAACAAAGTGAGGACTTGAATTTTCAAGCTATGGCCATTGCGATGAAAAAAAAGTTTGATAAGTATTGGGGGGATGTGGATAAGATGAATAAGTTCATTTATGTTGCTCTTCTTCTCGACCCTCACTCTAAGATGGTCATTGTTGAATTGACACTAACGGATATGCATGGACCGGAAAAGGGTACAAAACTTGCTAATGATGTGAAGGAGTTCGCTTACTCTTTATTTGAGGAATATAGAAAAATGTATGCTACTTCTAATATTCCAGATTGTGGAGATAATATGTCAATGGATATTGATAATAGTAAAGGAGTGGGTTCCAATTATGTGAGGAAACTAAAAGAAAGAGCAAAACGATTGAAGGGGACAAGTGGGTATGCGATAAGTGAGTTGGATAGGTACTTAAATGATCAATTAGGGCCGGAGGAGGAAGAACAAGATGCATTGACATGGTGGGGTAAGAATGGTCAGCGTTATGTGATTCTTAATCGCATGGCACGTGACATAATAGCCATCCCATTGTCGACCGTTGCATCGGAATCTGCTTTTAGTACGGGAGGTCGTACTCTAGATCCATTTCGGAGTTCTTTAACTCCTAAGGTAATGCATCGTTATCTTTTTATTTTATAAAATCAAGTTTGTTTATATCTTAATATGACTTTGTTTATACATATTTGTGTAATATTTTTGTATTGAAGATGGTTCAAGCGTTACTTTGCACACAAGATTGGCTTAGAGCTAAGGAAGTGCCAATTGTTAATGTGGAAGAAAATTTGAAAGAGTTAGAGGAAATAGAGAAAGGTAGTAATAATTTTATGTATTTGAAATTTTGTTACACCAAATTTATTATTTCATTGTTATCAATCATTAATATATTCTATATTGTATTTTATTTAGAGGTGCAACGTGGTGAATCTAACGATGTAGACGATGAAGTTGTTTTCGTGGACTCATTAGTGTGAATCACGCGATCAAAGGGAAAACAACTCGTTGGAGAATTTATGTATTTCTAGTACTTGAGAGTTGAGACTTAAGAGAATTTATGTAATTTTATGAGTTTTCGTGGACTTATTTGTATTTTCGGTGGACTCATTTGTATTTTTGGTGTTTGAGAATCGGGACTTTATAGACTTTATGTAGTTTTGTAATTGATAATTTTGGTTTGTATGTAATTATTAAATTATGCAACAGGTCTAAAAATCACAAAACAGGTCCATATGCAGGTCCAACAGGTTTTGTATTAAAAAAAAAAAACAAAAAAGACACAAAACAGGTCCATTCAGGTCCAAACCCGGACCGGACCTGATTTTTCAGGTCTGGGCCGGAACCGGACCTGTTAATTCAGGTCCGGTCCTCATAATTACCCAATTCAGGTCCCCGGTCCAAACAGGTCCGGTCCAGGTCCGATCCGGTTTTGGACCGGTGTACACCCCTAGCTGTAAGATGAGATTCGTTAGGATTTGATTGAAACCTAGCACACAAACCAACACTAAAAGCAATGTCAGGTCTACTAGCAGTTAAATAAAGAAGGGATCCGATCATACCTCTATACTTGGTTTGATCTACACTAGTTCCTTGTAGATCTTCATCTAATCTTGTGCCAGTTCCCATTGGTGTATGGTTAGTTTTTGCTTGATCAAGGTTGTATTTTTTCAGAAGTTCCTTGACATATTTTTGTTGGTGAATTGCAATTCCTTCTTCAGTTTGTTTGATTTGAAGTCCAAGGAAGAAGTTGAGTTCTCCCATCATAATCATCTCAAATTCACCACTCATTAAATCAGCAAAATACTGGCACAAGATTTCATTAGTTGCTCCAAAGATAATATCATCAACATATATTTGAACAACTAATAAGTCAGTTCCTTCAGATTTCAAAAACAAAGTTTTATCAATTTTTCCTCTTTTAAAATCATTTTGAAGAAGGAACTTGGAGAGCCTTTCATACCAGGCTCTAGGTGCCTGCTTTATCCCATAAAGAGCTTTATCAAGCTTAAAGACATGATTAGGAAATTGGGGGTTTTCAAAACCAGATGGCTGTTCCACAAAAACATTTTCTTCAAGAAAACCATTTAAGAAAGCACATTTAACATCTATTTGGTATAACTTAAAACCCATAAATGAAGCAAAAGCAATTAACATTTTAATAGCTTCTAATCTAGCAATAGGAGCAAAAGTTTCTCCAAAATCAATACCTTCTTGCTGATTATAGCCTTTCACAACAAGTTTGGCCTTGTTCCTCACAATAGTTCTATACTCATCCAGCTTGTTTCTGAAAACCCACTTGAGCCCTATTACCTTTTTGTTCTTGGGTTTCTCTTCAAGATGCCAGACCCTGTTCCTTTCAAATTCATTGAGTTCATCTTGCATGACAATTATCCAGTCAGCATCTTTAAGAGCTTCTTCATGATTTCTTGGCTCAATTATGGATAGAAAGGCTTGGAAGGCACAGAAGTTCCTCATTTGTGATCTGGTTTGAGTTCCTCTGCCAATGTCACTTATGATGAGATCAGTAGGATGAGAGCCTTGATATTTGAAGGGCTTTCGATGAAACTCTCTGGCAGGAACTCCTATTTGAGGCACTTCTTCTTTTTCTTCCTCTGGTTCCTCTTTATTTCCTATTTCTTCATGACCTTGTTCCTCCTGAATTTCAGGTGGAGGAACTTCAGCATTTTCTTGATGATCTTGTTCAGGTTTAATTTGCTTTTCCTTGGGATGACTAGTTTCCTTTTCATCATCCTCCCTGTCTCTAACCATTCCAATTTCATAATCATTAGAGTCTTGTTCCTGCACATTCATAAACATATTAGATTCATCAAATATCACATGAATGCTTTCTTCGACACACATAGTATTTTTATTGTAAACTCTGTAAGCCTTGCTATTTGATGCATAGCCAAGGAACACAACTTCATCACTTCTTTCATCAAATTTTCCAATGTTCCTTTTACCATTATTATGAACAAAGCACCTGCATCCAAAAGCTCTAAAGTGAGAAATATTGGGTTTTCTGCCCTTAAACAGTTCATATGGAGTTTTATTGATGATTGGTCTCATCATAACTCGATTTATAAAATAGCATGCAGTATTGATAGCTTTAGCCTAGAAGTTCCTTGGTAGTCCATTAGCTATGAGCATTGTTCTTGCCATGTCTTCTAGGGTCCTGTTCTTCCTTTCCACAACCCCATTTTGTTTAGGGGTTCTTGGGGATGAGAAGTTATGATCCATGCCGTTCTCTTTGCAAAACTACTCAAATCTTGTATTTTCAAACTCAGTTCCATGATCTGACTGAATGTGGATAATTTGATTTCCACTAGTTTTCTGCACTTTCTTGGCGAATGACACAAATTCATCAAAGGTTTCATCCTTGCTAGACAGAAAAATCACCCAGGTAAATCTAGAAAAATCATCAATAATAACTAGAACATATTTCTTTCCACTTCTACTTTGAACACGCATGGGACCACACAAATCCATGTGAATGAGTTCCAATGGCTTTGTGGTGCTCACCATGTCTTTACTTTTAAAAGATGACTTGACTTGCTTGCCTCTCACACATGCATCACAGATATGTTGTATGAGGAACTTGACTGAGGGAAGTCCTATGACCAAGTTCCTCGCTCTAAGTTTATCCATGAGTGAGAAACTAGCATGTCCAAAACGCTTGTGCCATAAGAAAGGATCATCATTAATGGCATTTAGGCATGTAAGGTTGTTCTTTGGGACAGCATTGAGATCCACAATATATGTGTTCCCTTTTCTAGTTCCTTCAAGAACAACCCTTCCTGTTTTGTCATTAATGATGTTGCATGAATCAAAAGTAAAACTTACAGAGTTTCCTTTGTCACAAAATTGTGATATGCTCAGCAAATTGTGGATCAAACCCTCGACAAAAATTACCTTTTCAATTGAATGGGAACTTGACCTCCCTACTTTTCCTTTTGCAATAACTTCTCCTTTCTTGTTGTCTCCAAAGGTCAAATTTCCTCCAGAATAGGCCTCAAGCGAGAGGAATTTTGATTTGTCTCCTGTCATATACTTTGAACAACCGCTGTCGAGGTACCATGTGTTGTTCCCCTTCACTAGGACCTGCAAAAGAACTCATTGATTAGTTTCAAAACCTAGGTTTCCTTGGACGTTGAAGCAATGTCAGATTTTCTAACCCAAACTTGCTTAACATTTTTACTAACAGATTGTTCCTTCTTATAACAAGTATCCACTAAGTGACCTGTTTTTCCACAAAAGGAACAAACTTTATAGCTAGGTAAATCAACATATTTCTTTTTACCTTTATGCTTAGATAGAATGTATCCTAGTCCTTCAGTTCTTTTGGTTTGAGCATTCTCAATCCATTTAGGTATACCAAGCTGACCAGTGCTTCTTTCTTTTCTGGCTGCAAGTTCCTTTTCTAAATTTGCCTTTTCAATTCTTAACTCATCAAGATTGTGTTTTAATTTTTCAAAATCTTCATTAAATTTAGGCAATGATCAGAAGAGGAACTTGACGATTTAAAGTCAGTACTAGCAATCTTGTATTGAGTCAGTTCAACATTAACCATAATATTTTCATACTTGAGTTTTTTATTAATTTCTTTTAGAAGAAGATTCTTGTCAAAAAGATCAAAGAATCTGCCTTGAACATCAGTACGCTGGTTCTCAATCCAGGTACTGTGATCCTTGCAGACTTTAAGAGCTTTTTCACATTCATTAAGCTTTTTAATATCAATTATCCAGTCATCTTCCATTTCTAAAATGAAATCAATAATTACTTCTTTAGGAAGAGTTCTAAGGTGATTGAGATCAACACGTACCTCTTTAGCCAGTTCTTCCTTGTAAGCCTTTTCATCACGTTTGACCATTAGACATAGATTGACTATTTCTTCTTCAGGTTGTTCCTCCTCATCATCACTCTAAGAATCTCCCCAAGCAGCAATCATAGCCTTCCTAATGTCTGC